ATGTTATATTGTGATGTGTTATGCTACATATGTTATGTTATTGAATCTAATGCTATTCTATGTTATGTTATGCTAAGTACTAAGCTAAACTCCCCTCCACTTAACCCATTCCAACAAATTTTATTTCAGCTCAACTCAACTCACATAAACTATCCTTAATTTTAGCGGTTGAATTTCAACCGCTGGGCGAACACTAGTATGCATAAGATGGCCACGATTGTCCTAAAGCTAACTTAGCTATTACCTGTTGAACTTTTTGAAGTTGATTTGGATAGTGAAGACCAGTAAATTATGGATTTAAAATTATACCATCGTAATCCTTGTTTAATTCTGTATAAAAAACGTGGTTAAAACAAATGGGCGTTTTTCAAGAACCATTTTTAAAATATTTTTCTTTGTGACGAGATGGTTTATTTTGTGAGAATTAACAATTTTTTGTAATTTGTTTTCGAAAATTTATGTTGAGATATATTATTTGTACGGCAAGATTTTCCTTTAAGGCGACAAACCCCTAGAAATGGGCGTGGAAATTACAGGACTAAAGTTAGCAAAACGCATATATTATTGCGGATTTCGGCGTGTGTGGCTAAGGAATTCTTCAATATTAATTAAAATTTATATATACAATCGCTCTTTAGCAAAGAAGCGGGTTTTCAGGAAATTTTTGGAAAATGGGGTAGCTCCGCGCACTTATATCATATATGTGGATCTCAAAACCTACTTGACCGGTCTCAACCAAATTTGATATACACATTGCGCTTAGGCTTCTTAAGCACCATGATAAAAATTTTTTCAATCGGACAAAAACCACGGGCTCCACCAACGTAACGGTAATTTCAAAAAGCTCAAAGCTAGTTATATTTTAGCGGCAGTAGTCCGATTTAAAAAAAAATAGTCAATACGCTACTTAAGGAGGCTAAGCACAATGTGTATATCAAATTCGTCGATATCGGTCAGTAGTTTTTGAGATACACATATATCATAAAAGTGGGCAGTGCCACCCTCATTTTCCTAAAAATTTCTTGAAAAACCACTTCTTTACTAAAGAGCGATTGTATATATCAATTTTGAAAAAATATTGATGAATTCCTTAGCCCCACTGCTCAAAAAATCTGAAAGTCTGGTACATAAACAATATAAATTCAAAGCCGTATTAAGAAAAATGGCCTAACTTCGACAATTTTTATACGATTGCAATAAATTAGCAATCAGTTTATTTAAAACTGGGGAAATTAGCGATGGTCAAAATTTAAAAAATTAAGATAAATATGGGTCTTTTTTTATTTTACCCGATAAAAAATCCAAACAAGCCAAGTCCGACAATATATTATTATATGCCATTTCAAAGGCCTATATATCCTCATCCCATATCATATTGGAGCTTTGAAATCGAATCAAAAATAGTCATTCAAAAACTCATAAATCTACAAAATTGCATTTTCTGACCTAAATCGACAGGTCGAGACCTCTAAATAACCTTTAAAAAATCTATAAGAATAAATAGGCAATAATATTTCTCAAAACAAATAAAATTAGGGGGTAGGGTCATGAAATTTCCAAAAAAAAACATTTTCGATGGGCACCCTAATGTACATACATATATAGATTTATAATAAAACTGCTGCCGTTTTATTTGTGCGCGCATCACGTAAAAAGTACTGATCCGATTTAAACGAAATTTTAAAGGATTGTAGGGAAATACACAGATACTTTTTTCGTTAGCTGGACCAGGGACCGATCCATTTTAAAAAATCGTATTTAGGGTCAGATTTTCTTGAAATTTAGCACGTAGAAAGCTTATTGCCTGGATACGACATCCGGGACCGATCTATCTAGGACCGAATGTCGATACTTTGCCTTCCTTCTAAATACCTTCGAAACAATATTAGCTAAGAGTTTTGGATGCAGTGAGAGTAGGGATGAAACGATACCATGCAGGTATCGATACTTTTACTTGGAAGTAGTGTCGATGCGTGAAAAATATCGTACCTAAAGTATCGATACCTACTCGTATCGGTACTCATTGTGTATTCCGTATTAAGTTAAATTGTTTCTTTTTTTTAAATCACAAGTTAATCATCCTCTGGGAATCCTAAACTCCGAATAGTAAAATTTAATAATGTAGGAGCTGAAAATAAATAAAACTCCGTTATATAGGAGAACTATATGTTTAATGATGAATGGTATTTACACAGATACATATACAGTTACAAGTTAATCTTATTTATGAAAACATCTTAATAGGTATATAAAAATCGATACTTTTACTTGGAAGTAGTATCGAAAAAAGTGTCGATGCCTGAAAAATATCGGACCTAAAGTATCGATACCTACCCGTATCGGTGTACTTTTACTTGGAAGTAGTATCGAAAGAAAGTCTCGATGCGTGAAAAATATCGGACCTAAAGTATCGATACCTACTCGTATCGGTACTCATTATGTATTGCGTATTAAGTTAAATTTATTTTTTATTAAATCACAAGTTAATCATCCTCTCGGAATCCTAAACTCCGAATAATAAAATTTAATAATGTAGGAACTGAAAATAAATAAAACTCTATTAGATAGCAGAACTATATGTTTAATGATGAATGGTATTTATACAGATACATATACAGTTACAAGTTAATCTTATTTAAGAAAACATCTTAATATATAAAAATCCCGTGTCACTATTTTTTTTTTCATTGAAATTTTTTCTATGCTTCTCACAACGTGCTTGTCTTAATATATAAAAATCCCGTGTCAATGTGCTCGTTTACGCTAATTTCCGAAACTTCTTAACGGATTTCATTGAAATTTTGTGGGTGTGTATTGTTGGTTCCAACTTAAAAGACAGTTTCGACCCAGAGAAAAAATATTTTTTTCATCGAAATTTTTTCTATGCTTCTCGCAACGTGCTTAAAAATCCCGTGTCGCTATGTTCGTTTACGCTAACTACAAACTGCCCATATCCGAAGCGGGAGTTTTCCAATCTTATTTGCGCTACGCTTCATATGTATGTTTATGTTGGGGAGAAATAGGCAGGATAGCAACAAAATAATGTAGTAAGTATTTATACATATAAACATGCACAGACCAACAGCAACAAAAAATTCACCGTTTGGACACCATCCAAGTTTATCCATTCCACTGGCTGATGTTTCAACCGTAACCAGAGATCGTTTTTTTCAAACGTAGGGAACAATAATACAATCTTTTGTAAATTTCGACATCGAATGAAACGTAAGAAACAATATGGGTCTTCACACCGAGATCGGTATTCGGTAACTCGGTGTCTGGTAGATATTATGGGTCTTCACACCGAAGCTTGGTACTCGGTAGCTCGGTGTTCGGAAATTTGTAAAATAGTGTTACACAAACAAAATACGTGGGAAAAAATTATCGAACACTGAGTTACCGAGTACCAAGTTTCGGTGTGAAGACCCATAATATCTACGATGCATGTAACCTGCCTATGTATCGGTATGTAGCAGGACAACGTCTGCCCGGGCTTACTAGTATATTAATAAAATATTTCAGCGAAAAAAGTCTTTTTTTGTTGTATTTCCCAAGAATAGAAGTTTTTCCAAATGTTTGCCAGTCAACAGATTTCTTGACGTGGTTATTGTTGCTCCTGCTTTCGAAAACAATCGGTTGCAAATATATGTGTGTAAATATGATCGGGTTCGACTTAAGGGAGGATACTGGGCTGGATAAATATAAGGACATTTCGTCACTTTTCGTAGACCTTTTTTCCTTTGACCGACGGCGAGCCGTTTGTGGTGTTGCCAGAAGTCGAAGTTATCCTTGGCTCTCGTACTTAAAGGACGCGCAACTTTTTTTGAGAAGTTCACAAATTAGAATAAGGCAACTTCTATATGTTCCAACTGTTTAGCCAATATGATAATGTTGGACGCAAAGCAAGACTACAGACTGCAGACTAGATTTAATTTTTTTTCTACAGACTAGATTCGAAGATAGCGTTTAAACTTTCTGGGATTAGGATACGTTTAATATTTTAGTGTTTTCTAGGATTTTTTATTTTTTATTTTTTTTAATCAACTTGTTTTCTTTATTTCTTTTCTTCAATAACATAGCTATTTGCCCCTACCTTTAGTATTGCCCGCTAACGTTTACAGCGCGAAGAATAATAGAGTTACTCAGTGACTTTTACATCGCGTTAGAACGTCTGTACTGAATATTCATCCACTTAACACTTCCACTCGAACAATTGGCCGTGTAAACGTTGCAAACCCTCGACTTAGGTGAAGCATTTGGATCGCATTTTGCATTATGTCCACTTTGGCGCTTTCCTGCGGTTTTCGCTGGCAATTAAGTTGCCAAAAAGCACAGGGCGATTCATATAAGGCATAAACGTAGAGGAAAAAATTTCGGAGCAAAATTTAACTTGTTATCGGGTTTCCTACCTGTCAAAATTACTTGGTATCGAACGAAAAGTATGGCGTATGTACTTGTATTTATTCGTATCGTTACATACCTAAGTGAGAGGAAGTAATAACACAAAATACTTTTAAGGCACAGCGAAGCACGCCGGGTATCTGCTAGTATTTGATAACGTAAGAACTTCGAAAACGGACATTGATGAATAAATTTTCAACTAAGGTAGTATATTTTCATATATTTGCATACATGTAAATATTCGCGCACATTTATTAGTATTATATTCTATTATAGCTAATGATCACGATCGCGTAAAAACAATAGAGTTTGCATTTCGATAATAAAATTTAAATTAAATTAAATAACTATCGATAGTGAAATACAAATAAACTATTGGTATCATAGTATAAATTTACTAGGTATATGGGAAACCATTTTTACGTTTATACGCATTAGAGAAAAAATAAAATTTGTTCTTATTTGGAACAAACCCCTTCTGACAAGCCTTTTTTAGAATAACTACATTTTGCATGAAAATAATTTTAATCGCGATTAAGATTGATTGAGTACAAGCGCTACAATAAAACTAACATTCTTAACATTCAATTGCATGCACTTTCAAGTGATTGAGTAAGTTTGTTTTATTGCTGCGGTGCCTGATCAATTTGGGGCACCGGGTGCGTATTGCCGATTGGGTATTGTTTTTTTTTTTAAGTGCCAAACTTTTGCCGTACTGAAAGATATTTATAAAACCTGCACTGAACTTTGATCCGATACAGCGTCTAAATTATTCTAAATTAAAGATATGAGTATTTTTACCTCATACACATACAAATATACTATTGTCGACTTCAGCATTAGAGATAGCAAAAATACATATAAACTAACAAAGGTAACAACTACTGCCAATATTGGGGTATCGAGGTACAGTATCGATATTATTATTATTGATTATTTTTTTATTATTAGATTGGCGCTTACACATATGTTAGTGTTTGGCCGAGCTTCTCCTCCGATTTATGGCGTGCGCCTTGATGTTGTCACACAAAGCCGAGGGACCTACAGTTTTACGCTGACTCCGAACGGCGATTGTATTTTTATGCGAAGCTGTTTTTTCATGGCAGAAATAAACTCGGAGGTTTGCCATTGCCTGCCGAGGGACGACCGCTGTTAAGAAAAAACCTTTTTTCTATAATTTTTTTTGCGATGTTGCTTTGACCAGGGTTTGAACCCAGGTGCTGCGGAGTGGAAGCGCGCACTACTTACCACTATACCACAGCGGCCGCCATCGATATTATTATTACCTTCTTTTTATTAGCTCGGGATGTAACTATCTAATATTGATGCGCCTAAAAGATGCAGCGATTTCTATTCTCAAGTTACATACCTGATGACCAGGGAACGGATTTTTAGGACCTAAAAACCTATAAAAAAGGCAAAATAAAGTAACGAAATAGTCTGGAAAAGGCAAAATAAAATAGCGAAAAAGGCAGGAAAAGGCACTAGGTATTGCCAAAAAGGCAAAAAAAGGCAAAACAAAATAGCGAAAAAGGCATGAAAAGGCAAAAAAAAAGGTATTGCCAAAAAAGCAAAATAAGGCACTAAAAAAACAGAAAATACGAAGAACAATCAAAAAATATATTTATTTTAGAAATTTTTATATTACAAGTAAAAAGAGAAAAGCTATGAACTAGTTTCATTATATGAAAAATTTGTACTTTGACTCTTTGACTATTTTATTCTTTCGAGTTTCTAACTCATAAAACTTTAATCTGTATAGTTGTAGTAACATTGAACCATAAGATGCATTTTGAAGTTTTCTGGCAGCATTTTCATTCGATTTTCGCGAAGAAAAGCCTTGAATGCACTAAATGAGCGCTCGATGTAAGTAGATACAAGTGGAGCCCAATTTAAATATGGAACGTTGGAAACGTTCATATTATCAGGAATAAGGGCGTTTTCCTCGCCCTTTACAATTTTATACACACCCCTTATTGTCTTCAAGCCTACGTTAGCTGAGAAAACGGCTTTGAATTTTTCCAACACCAATTTGGCAAGAGGTCCCTGCGCTTCTATAAGCCGCATGGGCATGTGTATATTTTTTAATCTTAAAAAAAAATTGTAAATGCTATAATCACTATTTTAAACGTAGAAAAGGCAAAAAAGGCAAATATCTTAAAAACGCCAAAAAAAAGGCAAATATCTTAAAAAAGGCAAAAAAAGGCAACATCAAATGTATATACATGGAATCAGGGAAAGCTAAATCGTGGACATTCTTAATCGAATATACTCTATCTCTTTAGCAGAAAAAAAGGCAATTTCCATAAAATCCGTTCCCTGCTGATGACAGTACGAATGGCAATTATAATAGGGAGGTTTTAGTTTTTTAAACTATAATTTTATTTTTACTCGAGTATTTCGTTAAAAGCATCGATGCCAAAAAGACTCGGAAAGGAACAAAAAGTGTCGATAGTATCTGAACAGTGAAGATTTCGAATCATCGACGCACAATCCAAAAGTGCGGCCAAAATTCGAAGCTTTAAAGAAATTATTCGAAATTTCGTACTAGAGGGCTTTCGGGGTCGCTAATTACGAATCCAATGTCAGAATTGCAAAATTCAAAATGGCGGATCCAGTATGGTGTCTGGTAAATTTCCAGCTTTTTAATGAGATTTCTTAGAAAAGTTTCAAGAATGCAGTTTTATAGCCCACTACAGAGTTGAAGTAGCTAGGACTTACCGTTGATTTTTGGAAATGTTTTTTTGTTAGCAGTCCAGTCATTTTTTCCATATAAAGTATGTTCGATGATATGAAGAAAATGAGCAGCACAAAACGATACTAGTAAATAAAATTACATACTCGATACTTTTCGTCCGATACCAAGTAATTTTGGTATCGATACTTTTGAACCGAGTACTGTGTAGGTGTCGGAAGAAAGTGTTTGTATCGAAACCTGATTCAGTGACAATTTTATTCCCGGACTTTTATTTTATTCCCGGATATTTTATTTAATCTTATTATTATTGTGAATAGCTAAAAAATTTTGGCAGTTTTGTTCCAATGAAAAGAAAGTCCTACAAAGAAAGGCCTATTATCATCTCATTAAAATATAGCTAGCTTCAAGTGAAAAGTTGCTAATACCATGTTCTGACCGACATCGAAAACATGTGTTTTCGTCCATGTAAAATCTGCCAAACGAAAACCAGTTTTCGCTGAAAACTACTTAAAAATTCACGTTCCACTCATTCCAGTCAGTGTCTGCTCTAGTTTTTTCGATTATTTATCGAAGTGGAAGTCATATTTTATCATCTTCAACACGCCATTTCGGATTTATTGTTAATTGGCTGACCAAAGTAAAATAAGAATGAAAGTAAAATATTGTCAATGAAAAGAAAATGAAGGAAAAGTGTTTTGGTTTTGTTTTTGTGTAGCAAAACTGTAATGAAAGGATCAAGGAAACGAAAACACTAATAACCGGAATCAAAATTTTGTAAGCCCAAGTATGATAGACATTTTATTTTATTATATTATATAATGTTTTTGAGAAAAATACACCGTAGTAATTTTAAAATTTCAAAATTACATTCCTCCACTGAAAAATGAGATATTCGAGCTAACTCGTCGGCACCCAGTGTGCTTTTTTAACACTTCATGCCAATTAATCGTAGCGCTTTCGACAGAAGCAATATTTTGATATGAAACAAAATGGCTTTGAAAACTAATGTAATTGCCTTTCAAGAAAAAATATTGATATTGAGCCACAATCACTCCTTGACCTTAAAGAAATTGGGCAAAAATGGTGTTCTTCGAAAAAATACCTGCAAAATCCGACGGATATATTAAAAAAAAGACATTTTTTGTATTTTTTATTATATTAATATTATAGATTTTGAGACGAGCAACACGATTCCACTGTTCAAAATTCGAAAAAAATTGTGTCCCCTTAATTTAAAAAATTCATCATTTATTGCTTTTTTTAACCGACTTCCAAAAAAGGAGGAGGTTATCAGTTCGTCGGAATTTTTTTTTTTTTTTTTTTTTTTNTCATGAGATATATATATATATATTTTTTTATATGAGAGTTGAAGTCGGTTTTTTTTTGCTTAAAATTACTTGTTTACCTTCCTTTTATTAGCTCGGGATGTAACTATGTAATATTGATGCGCCTAAAAGATGCAGCGATTTCTATTCTCAAGTTACATACCTGATGACAGTACGAATGGCAATTATAATAGGGAGGTTTAAGTTTTTTAAACTATAATTTTATTCTATTTGCCTGCAGCAGTGCATCCTTCACTCAATTTTATATTCCTCGAACAATAAAAGCAATTCAAGTCCTTTAATTTAAGTCTCTAGGCCCTTTGAGAGCTAAATTATTACGATTCTGAAGTTAAACTTCGAAATTTCATTCGACATTTTATGCAATTTTTTTTCTAATTTCGGAGTAAAAACTAGTACAGCAGTTTCGAAGTTTGATTTAAAATTGTTATAACTTGGCTCTCAGAGGGCGTACAGGCTTCTACGTTGGCTCAAATTAAAGGTCTTGAATTGCACTTATTTCTCGGGTGATATAAAATTGAGTGAAGGATGCACTTCTGCATGCAAATAGAAAAAATGCAATAAATAATGCATTTTTTAAATTAAGGTGTTAAAATTTGTTTTCGAATTTTGAACAGTGGAATCGTGTTACTCGTCTCAAAATCTGTAATACAGTAAAACCCGCTTAAGTACCTCTCGAAAAATGTCAGCTTTTTGACGTACTTAGGCGGGTTGGGTACTTAAAAGAACCCGCTTAAGTACCTCGATGCGGGTACTTAAGCGAACATAGTTACTGATGTAGTTACATCTTCTTGTTAACTTACATAAATACTTGAATAACAACATTTAATGAAGTACACATAGTTTAAAACCAAAATCGTAGCATTATGTAAACTCATAAATAAGTATTATTAAAAAAATATTTAGTGCAATGGTCTGTAATTTTTACAAGAATTAAAATGTTTAAAAAGTCAAGGTTGGACATATCATTTTGTACTAAATTCAAATGATATTGTTTGCCACTTATGTTTATTTATTAATTTTTAAGGTTTTTCAATCAATTAAAATGCAGTTCATTCCCTAACAAATAACATATAAACTTAAGCTTAAGATTTTGTAGAACACTTAAAAAAAAATTCATCATAATTTCAAACTTGTTTATCAGAAGTGTTTTTGTGTATACAGTTTTATAGTCCATTCGATTTAAGTGCAATAATGTGCAAGTTTCAAGTGGATAAAAGTTGCCGTTGATTTTTTAGAATTTTTTTACCTAATTTGAAATTAAGCGGGTTTCACTGTACTAGTATAATAAAAAATACATAAATTTTTTGTTTTTTGAATAAACCCCGTTGATTTTGCATGCTTTTTTCGAAGAACACTACTTTTGACCAATTTTTTTAAGGTCAAGGGGTAATTGCGGCGCAATAGCCACAGTTGAAAGGGATTTATTTTAGCTTTTAAAACCATTTTGATTCGTATCAAAATGCTGCTTCTGTCGAAAGCACTACGATTAATTCGCATGCAGTGTTCAAAAAGCGCACTGTGCGGCTTGTGAAAGGACAAGAGATACCTGTAAAATGCTGTGCATATTTTTCAGATATGAGTTCAGAGACAAAATCTATTAGAAATAGCCAACTTCATATCAGAAAAAAATTTCAATTAGCACGAAAGTGTTCCGGAAGTAGAATCACAATACCGAGAGTGTAATTGAAATTCTTACCCCCCTATATAAGAAGGCACATTCCCTGCCCTTTGAAGCTTTGTCAGGGGTGAAGGTTGCCCAGAAAATCGGTTAGTTGCTGAAAACGACAATATTATAAATTGCGTGCGGTAGACACAGATAAGAGGCAAAAACATGCCCTTTTACAGGGTTGAGTGCAACATCTAACACATTTTGCACCGGGGAAGGACAACATTTTTTGGAAGAAACGAAATCACCATTATTTAAAATTAAGTGGGAAATATTTCTTTCATACATTTCCCCCATATATTTGAAGGGCGCTCATACCAAATTGGGCACTTCTACTGCAGAGATCCTAGGGAAGGTCATAGGCAATTTCGATATATCAAGGGGTGCAGCCCCGCCTATACAGATATACATTTTTATGATGCAAATATATCCCGAAAAGTATTTTTAGAGAG